CAAGACTCCTGTCTACCTCAGACACCAGCCTCAAGTAGTGGGTCCCCACGTTACCCACACTTCTGCTCGATTTCGCCACAAATTGGGGGCTCCGTGACCCCCTCCTCAGGTTTGGTCATTTGCTGTCACAGTGCATAGTAGTCAGAGAAATACTTCTACTTGCTGGTTGATCATGTAAGAAAGGATATGAGATAGCACACACGTGAAGAGATTCACAGGGCAAGGCACGAGGGGAGGGACACGGAGCTTCCATGCACCTCCGCACATTCGCCAACCAGGCAGCTCTTCAGACCCCTTCACTTAGGACTTCTATGGAGGCTTCTTACATAGACACGATCATTGTAGACCAAATCACTGCCATTAATGAAATCTGTAGTCCCTCTCCTCTCCCAGAGGTGGGATGGAGGGCACGGTTGCTGAAAGTCCCAACCTTCTACTCACAAGCCTGCCCGCCAGACCAGCCTGAGACTCTCCAGGAGCCCCCAGCCACCAGGCTTGTCACTGTCATGCAAAAGGATGTTATCACGTGAGCGATTCTGAGGGAGCTGCAAAGCAGGTTGGCTGAGGTTCCTCACCTCAGGGAGGTGGAGGTCGGGAATGGTTAAGGATGCTGGAGCCAGGACCACTGGATTAACTCCTAGTGACTGCCCCTGGCTGAGTTTCTGGCCTGGGCTTCCCTTTGCTCTTTTCTCACCTGGAATTTTCTTTCCTCCTGAGAGTGCCTGAGGGACCTCCCCAGTTACTTAACTGGTGTTTGAGCGTCCCACTGCGGTTCAGATCATGATTTCGCAGTTCGTGAGTTCAAGCCTCACGTCAGACTCTGTGCTGACAGCTCGGAGCCTGAAGCCTGCTTTGGATTCTGTCTGTCTGTCTGTCTGTCTCTCTCTCTCTCTCTCTTTGCCCCTCCACTGCTTACGCTTTCCCTCTCTCTCACAAAAATAAGTAAATAAATATTTTTTAAAAATTAAAATGGCATGGCACAAAAACAGACACTCAGATCAATGGAACAGAATAAAGAACCCAGAAATGGACCCACAAACGTATGGCCAACTAATCTGTGACAAAGCAAGAAAGAATATCCAATGGAATAAAGACAGTCTCTTTAGCAAGTGATGCTGGGAAAACTGGACAGTGACATGCAGAAGAATGAACTGGGACCACTTTTTTACACCCTACACAAAAATAAACTCAAAATTGATAAAAGACCTCAATGTAAGACAGGAAGCCATCAAAATCCTCGAGAAGAAAGCAGGAAAAAACCTCTTTGACGTGAGCCACAGCAATTCCTCACTCACTCAACACGTCTCCAGAGACAAGGGGAAAAAAAGTAAAAATGAACTATAGGGATCTCATCCCCAAAATAAAAAGCTTCTACACAGTGAAGGAAACAATCAGCAAAACTAAAAGGCAACTCACAGAATGGGAGAAGATATTTGCAAATGACATATCAGATAAAGGATTAGTATCCAAAATCTATAAAGAACTTATCAAACTCAACACCCAGAAAACAATGCAGTGAAGAAATGGGCAAAAGACATGAATAGACACTTCTCCCAAGAAGACATCCAGATGGCCAACCAACACATGAAAAAATGCTCAACTTCACTCATCATCAGGGAAATACAAATCAAAACCACAATGAGATACCACCTCACACCTGTCAGAATGGCTAACATTAACAACTCAGGCAACAATAGATGTTGGCGAGGATGCAGAGAAAGAGCATCTCTTTTGCATTGTTGGTGGAAATGCAAGCTGGTGCAGCCACTCTGGAAAACAGTATGAAGGTTCCTCAAAAAACTAAAAATAGAACTACCCTACGACCCAGCAATAGCACTACTAGGCATTTATGCAAGGGATACTGGTGGGCTGTTTCGAAGGGGCACGTGCACCCCCATGTTTATAGCAGCACTATCGACGGTAGCCAAAGTATAGAAAGAGCCCACATGTCCATCGATGGATGAGTGGATAAAGATGATGTGGTATATATGTACAATGGAGTATTACTCAGCAATCAAAA